TTAAATAAACATAATTAAATATAATTTCATTTTAACAAACCCATTTGAAAATTGCCTCGAAGTCACACTGCTTTTACCTCTACTTGCACACCTTCTTTTGACTCTGCCTTTTAGAATTTATATAACAAATATAATATTTTATTAATTTAAATAAAAATTCAAATATACTTAAAAATATTCGAAATATTAATTTTATTATTTTGTAACAAATGTTATGTTCCCTCATAATTAAATAAATAAATATGGGAGTTAAAAACTAAAAGTATGAGGTCATTTTTTACGTCATCTGAGGTCTTCAATTAATACGCGGGTAATTTTCGTTCTCTTTTTACCCATCAGGCATCAATCACGTAAAAGGCAATAAAAATCCTGGTCATGATGCAGTTTTGGTCTGCCAAATGTACGGTTAGGATTTATATGACGAAGAAGAGGAAACATCCATTATGGTGTTTCTGGACCGCACCGTAGGAGAGCACGACGCAGTACTGTCAACAACTCCAGGAGACAAGTTGGGTATAAACATGCAGGGACCAAGACAAAAGGCAGGAAAGGAAACTGGGTGCGCGTTTTGAGACCTGAGAGAGAATTTTCTTCTTCCTTCTTCCTTCTTCAATTCGATTATCAAGTAAAGAAATTTCTCTCCCTAGAAGAAAATTAGTGGGTAAGTTTTGCTTTCTAGAATAGTGGATGATTTTGTTAATTAATCTAAAAGTTGTCATTTTAGCAACTGGGTCCGTCGAATATTGTTATGTTCAGATTCTTGAATTTGGTTAAAAATCCTCTCAGCCATCTGATTATATTTTTTATTGGGTCAATATTTTCTTCATCTGGGTCTGGGTTGTTTGTTTCCCTTACTTTGTGTTTGTCTCTGTTTCTTTTTCTTATTGGTTTGTTGCTTTTCAACCATACCTAACCTCACAGTCTCAATATATATATATATATATATATATATATTATTTTTAATGAAAAGCCATCTGAAACGGGTATATTTACCTTTGTTTTTAATTTGTCATCTTATACAAGGTCAAACATAAGGGTTTCTTCTCCATTCTCCAATTCATTCCCTTCTGTTTTCTGTTCAATTGCGGGATTTGATAGCTGATATGATCTTTGCTACTTTCTCTTCAACCCCTTTTGTTTGATCGGGTATATAATTCTTGATTTCTATCTTGACAAACCTGCACAGGTTCTTGTCTTTGGTGGGATTAATGGCCTGGAACTGATCATTTGAATGCTTTATTTCTAGTTTATTAATTTATCGGTTTGGTTTGCATGGATCAGATGTATTCGTATTTGTTTTAACCTAAACCGTTGGCTTTCATGCTTTAATTCTGGCTTCTTGGATGTCTCATGTTTTCTATTTTTTTTTTTCCTATAGAAAAGTTATATACTGCTTGAATCTGATGTTTTCCTCCTTGTCAAACTGATAAACATCGAATGATATTTTCATTTACGTTATTTTAATATGTCAAAACGTTAGCTAGTTTCAGATGGATCTATCCTTCAAATGTGTTTTTCTTTTTCTGTTGGCAGAATTAGCTGCTTGTTTAAACATAATTAGGCACCAACTGGCACATGGTGAAGGGTGCTGCTAAGCATAAAGTTGTGGGCAGCAGGTCTCTGGTGAGTTGGGTTTTCTTTTCCTTTTACTCATTGTGGTCAACAAAAGGATGGGGGGAGGGAGACAATCAGGAACCAAATCTTTTCAGTGTAGAAACAAGCTAACAACGAATATCTTGACGATTTCTACTTTTTCCTATTTCGTGTTTACTTATTCTCGCATTTCTTACTTTAACAACGAGTAAACACCATTCAAGATCCAACTGAATCCTTAATGTTACTGCCACTCTATCTTGCTGTTCACGGAATACATGTTATTAATTTGTGGTTTCAAGTTATAGTAACAGTCTAATGCCGATAAAAAATATTAGTCTGGCACTAAACTGATTATTTTGCCGGATTTAGACACAAAACATTTAATATATGCAAAGTAGTGAAGAAGTGGGGAGATGGAAAATGGGATGATGATAGAATTTCTAATCAAATTAGATCCTTTAAGATTAGGCATGTAGATATAATAAACAAAAAATCTTTCTGCTTTAAGCTTATTCAAGTAAGTGCAAACTTACGTGTTCCTTATTCTCTTAATTCCAGTAACTGTCGATTTCATTATTTTCACTTTGTCTCTGAACATGGGAGCATAAAGGAGCAATATTGGCAGAGTAGCCTCCTAGCTCTTAACTGAATATGTTTTCGATGACTGTTGTCACCTTGTAGGAGATAAACAAACAATAACACTACTCTTGGTTCTATTCTCAATTCATTATCATTTACGACCTTTAATTTCATATTATTCTGAACATATAGAATTGCAACATGTTTTTTGTTTGATCTAAGCTCACCTTGAATTCTTTATGGTGAGAATTAAAGTCCCACTTCAATCCATAGGAATTGAATTCTTGTTCCCAATGGATTCAGGGTGGGGATGGTTGAGATAAAGCACATAAATTATCTTTTAATTCTACATGTTAAGACTAATATGAAATATGGAGGTACGAATTAAGTGGAAATGAAAGGGTAACTGAGCCAAACACAAGCTGAATTTTTGCCATATTTCGTCCACAGAAGTTTCATAATGTACTATATTTTAAGTGCATTCTGTGAACAAAAGACAATTTATAGTGACGAATATGTTGTTTCATGAAATGACTAATCTTTTCAACCCTTGACAGCCACAAGTTTTTGTATGGGACAATGAACTAACAGATTTGAGAATCACCATCTAAGGAGCTCTAGACATGAACTCTAACCTGTTAATGGTACTTGAGCTTTATGACTGGAATAGGTGAGAAAAGAAGTTGCGGAGATAAGAAGAGAGAGAACAGAGCTAGGTCGAGAGAGAAAGAGAGAAAGTGTCATGTGTTATTAAGTCTGCAAAAAATTGTTCTCGATTTTCTCCTACAATTTATTTATAGTTGATTTAGTATGCTACTAACTGATGCCTTTCAACCGCCACAACCACAACAGTTTCAACAGATCATGTTCAACTACTAACTGATAATATGTTGTTGGTAAACCTTTAAGGGTTTACTGACACATCATTAAGGAATAGAAACTTCAGCAGAATCAGATTCCATTGTCCTCTTCGCATAATTGCTCTTCTGATCAAAGTCCTATATCACTTGCCAAATTAAAGACATCCATTTTCTTCCACTAACATCTTGCATGAGCTTAGATGACTTAACAAATAGAATTTTTTCATTCAGATCTATTTGGAAGATACGAGCAATTTTTTTATTAGCATCTCTCAGATGTTAGGGCATCTTGTTCGTCTCTATTATTATGCACCCTACTAAAAGGATATCTCATTTTGTTGGTTCTTCTGGATTGATCATATGCAACAAACTCTTTAACTATTCTAAATGACGAAGCTTAATTTCAAGGATAGCCTGGATCCATACTTATTCACTCAGATATGTAATATTGAACTAATTGCTTAAACAAAATGCCCTCTCTGTGTGACCGATACTTTTTTGAAATAAAAAGTATGATATGTATTAAT